TTGTTTGCCTGTTTGCATTTTAATTACCATATTACTTAATACTGTTTACCAAACTGTACTTCCACCCCATGTCAGTACGAGTTTTTGGTATTGTTGCATTTTCAACCAATGTGCATCCCAATGTTTTTGGGTCCAAAATGAATAGATCTCAAGAGCTTATCTTCTGAACCGTTCTTTTTCTTGTCACAATTGAATGCGTAATATGGGAACACTGCTCAACTAGAGAGCCATTATTGGTTGAACATGCAAATTTACTTTTTTTTTAATTCTTGCTGGTTAACCCGGGGACCACGTTTCATTTTAATCACCACAGACATATGAAAATTATTTAACAATCCGAGTGACATTCTCGTCCAGCCACAGTAGACGTAGCCGACTTACTCAATTATAACTTTATATGGCAAAATCCCTACAAATCTACTAAAAAGGCTGATGGATCTCCTCTAGAACTTAATTAAAGTTGGTAACTAGTCCACAGACCTTCACAAGTGACAGTAATCGTCTACTAAATTAAATGAGAAAATAAACAAATATGGCGACTTGCTCATCACAACAAACACCATCAACACTATACTGGCTTATAAACCTCCACTCAGGATGTGTCTTGTCATATATTATATTATAGACTGTACATAAAACTATAAACTTCTAAAAACTATCATATAATTTAACTTACCTTCCATTTAAATGCCCAAGAGCGTCCATTATGTTGCACACACCCATTCTTCTCTCCGCCGACGCCATTACGTCTCTTTAAGACCCGAAGGACTCGTCGGCTAATCACAGACCGTCTTGTGCCACCAGCTGAAAACTGACCAACCACACGCCAGCTTACATAAATTTAATGCCGCCAGGGACCAATCAGTGACTTCTGCTGAAAACTGACCAATTACACGCAAGATTTCAGTCCCCTTCGCCGTGATGACCAAAGTCGATGGGCATTTAAAGATTTATTCAATAAATATTCAAATTTTTATGTAAATAGACAGTCTAGGAGTCTAGCTACACGACAATGGTAAATTATACATATTAATGCAAGGGCAGTCCAAGAAAGGTGTTAATAGTGTATAAAGATAATTAACTCTTTATTGGCGATCGTGAGTCGAGGCACACAGTAAAATGTACTAAATGATTATACATTAAACATCTTGAGAAAATACTTATATTGATGTGTTTTATTTCGTAGTTATTATTTCACATTGGCCAGGATCGAGGGGTCACTGGATAGACAACATCTTAGAAAAGTTCAGTATTAATCTAGTTCACAATATTGCGCCCAAACAGGAACACTTTATACAGGGTGTCTAAAAATAAATTGCATGCGCACGGACTTACAGATCTTATGAATGTTTGTACTATAACAATATTATTCTCACTTGTAAGACTCCACACAGCTTCCCTTTACACACCAGAAATGTTGATGTTTAGATGTTATTCCCTGAGTGAGTGTTTGCAACGATATTTATAGGGCAGTAAATTGACCCGAGCACCAACACAGAGATGACTCGACTCTGCCTGCAGGGGTTGATCCTTGACCCAGGAAAAGGCACTAGAGGCTACAGGTCTTATCAGGGAGAACAAGACCACACAGGAGGGAGGGTGTAGGTCTTATCAGGGAGAACAAGACCACACAGGAGGGTGGGTGTAGGTCTTACCAGGGAGAACAAGACCACACAGGAGGGAGGGTGTAGGTCTTACCAGGGAGAACAAGACCACACAGGAGGGAGGGTGTAGGTCTTATCAGGGAGAACAAGACCACACAGGAGGGAGGGTGTAGGTCTTATCAGGGAGAACAAGACCACACAGAATGGAGAGGGTGAGTCTTATCAGGGAGAACAAGACTAATAGGAGGGTGAAATCTGACAGGGAGAACAAGACCACATTAGGGAGGGAGGGTGTAGGTCTTATCAGGGAGAACAAGACCACACAGAAGGGAGGGGTGCAGGTCTTATCAGGGAGAACAAGACCACACAGGAGGGGAGGGTGTAGGTCTTATCAGGGAGAACAAGACCACACAGGGAGGGGAGGGTGTAGGGCCTGAGCCAGGGAGAACAAGACCACACAGAAGGGAGGGTGTAGGTCTTATCAGGAGAACAAGACCACACAGGAGGGAGGGTGTAGGTCTTATCAGGGAGAACAAGACCACACACTGTGGGAGGCATCTTGCACAGGGAGAACAAGACCACACAGGAGGGAGGGTGTAGGTCTTATCAGGGAGAACAAGACCACACAGGAGGGAGGGTGTAGGTCTTATCAGGGAGAACAAGACCACACAGAAGGGAGGGTGTAGGTCTTATCAGGGAGAACAAGACCACACAGGAGGGAGGGTGTAGGTCTTATCAGGGAGAACAAGACCACACATCAGGGGGAGGGTGTAGGTCTTATCAGGGAGAACAAGACCACACAGGAGGGAGGGTGTAGGTCTTATCAGGGAGAACAAGACCACACAGGAGGGAGGGTGTAGGTCTTATCAGGGAGAACAAGACCACACAGAAGGGAGGGTGTAGGTCTTATCAGGGAGAACAAGACCACACAGGAGGGAGGGTGTAGGTCTTATCAGGGAGAACAAGACCAATAATAGAGGAGGGTGTAGGTCTTATCAGGGAGAACAAGACCATATTAAAGGGGAGGGTGTAGGTCTGCATCAGGAGAACAAGTAATCCACAGAGGGAGGGTGTAGGTCTTATCAGGAGAACAAGACCATACAAAGGGAGGGGTGCAGGGTCTTGGCATCAGGGAGAACAAGACCACACAGAGGGAGGGTGTAGGTCTGCATCAGGGCAACAAGAATCACACAGAGGGAGGGTGTAAGTCTTGCATCAGGGAGAACAAGACCACACAGGAGGGAGTGGTGTAGGTCTGCATCAGTAGAACAAGAGTCATTACTGGTGAGGAGTGGTGTAGGTCTTATCAGGAGAACAAGACCACAAAGCGAGGGTGTAGGTCTTACATCAGGGAGAACAAGACCACACAGGAGGGAGGGTGTAAGTCTTGCATCAGGGAGAACAAGACCACACAGGAGGGAGGGTGTAGGTCTTGCATCAGGGAGAACAAGACCACGCAGGAGGGAGGGTGTAGGTCTTGCATCAGGGAGAACAAGACCACACAGAGGGAGGGTGTAAGTCTTGCATCAGGGAGAACAAGACCACACAGAGGGAGGGTGTAGGTCTTGCATCACTGTGTTGTACTAAAGTAATATTAGATCAAGGTGTTACACAATACCCCCACATTTTCTTCATGTTAGTTGAACTGTCTTGAAGGTGTTGAATACTTCCTTTACAAGGTGAATGTTGTCCAAATACCCTGTAATGAGGTTGAACATTGTCCCGTTCTGTCAATCAGCAGCTCAACTAACGTTAAGGTCAAAATGGCCTCCTTCCTGGTGTCTGGGCTATTATCAGGATTTATTAATAGTCTATCATCTCACCACTTATCAGGAGGAACCTGTTATCTGAATGCACTTCCTAAAACTATATCTTGCTGTTGTGAGACCTCACTTGGATTACACAGTTCAGCTCTGGTCACCGTACTACAGAATGGATATAGAATCCCTAAAAACAATTCAGAGGAGAATGACAAGACTAAGCCCAGGCATTAGGAACCTTGAGTACAGAGACAGGTTAAAGCATCTTAATTTGCACTCCCTAGAGAGACATAGAGTGAGGGGCGATATGATCAGGGCTAAACAAAGGTGATATAACAAAGGTACTCAAACTATCCAACCAGGAGCGAACTCATAACAATGGTTTTAAGTGAGATTAATTTAGATTTAGGCCCGAGATAAGTAAACACTGGTTTGGAAATAGAGTAGTGGATGAGTGGAACAAGTTACCAATTATCATCATTAACTCAAATATGCTGGATAGCCTCAAACATACAGTAGGTTGGATGGATATATGAGCAATAGGGGCTGGGTGTAAATGGGACTGCCCAGTATGGACCAATAGGCCCGCTGCAGTTTCCTCCATTCTTTTGTTGTATGTGAATCATGGCCTTGTGAGAGTGATCAACACCCCAGAGATGACCTCCTCTTGTACTCTGTGGTGGTAGTGAGGGTGTGGGGGAAGTGGTGGTGGTGTGGGAGAGGCAGTGGTGGTGTAGGGGAGGTGGTAATGATGGTGTGTGGAAGGTGGTGGTGGTGGTGTGGGAGAGGCAGTGGTGGTGTAGGGGAGGTGGTAATGATGGTGTGTGGAAGGTGGTGGTGGTGGTGTGGGAGAGGCAGTGGTGGTGTAGGGGAGGTGGTAATGATGGTGTAGGGGAGGTGGTGGTGGTAGTGGGGAAAGGTGGTGGTGATGTGATGGAGATGGTGGTGATGTGATGGAGATGGTGGTGATGTGGTGAAGTTAGTTGTAGGGATGACGGTCATCATTAGTGGACGTTTCTTGTTCCTTGCAGTCAATTTATGTACATATGAAACAGAGTAGGAAATCCTTAGCAGCTGGTTAAGGGTTAAAAAAAACTATAAATCCAATAACAAAAAACATATCAGAGGTTCAATATCAAAACCTTGTACATGGCAGAATGCACCACACAGTCTATGAGAAAACTTACCAAATTTCTTAGCACCAGATGATCTGACCAGTCCAGTTTATGCTGCAGACAGACACACACACATCTTCACTACACATAAAGTCTCAGTTGGGTGCTCTCATCCCACTTGGGTTATCTCTTTCTGAATGATTGTTTATTTTTGACTTTTTCCATTCCATTTAAGACTTAGATAATTCCCATTAAGTCTACATGGGAAAAAATCATGAGTTTGGGAATTGTCTAAATAGCATGTAATCTGATGGTCAGGTCAGATCAGGTCAGGTCAGTGAGAGAATAAATCACATGTCAGGGTATAGGAAACAGTGTCAATAACAGGTCATATGATGGTCAGGTTAGGTCAGATCAGGTCAGTGTAGGAATAAATCATATGTCAGGGTATAGGAAACAGTGTAAATAACAGGTCATATGATGGTCAGGTAGGTAAACGATGACAATAATAAAACAACGTATACATGATCAAGTTTATTGACGTACTATTTCAGACAAACACTTAAAACTGGGGTTCTAAACTAACTTTCCTATAAGTGGATTATACACTGCACAGATAGTAGTGAAAACTTGTACAAATATTAAATAGGGAATGTTGTAGCTTCAGGAGTCACAATATGCTTGCAATACATCACACTTCAAGAAGCTCAGAATATCCATTAACATCCATATACAGTACAATAAATTAAAACCTATAGAGTAAACATTATATTGAATAAAAAAAAAATACGCTGCGTTAACAAATTCCGAGGCTAGAAAGCGGAGATAGCATGACATTTATTTACCTTACACGATGGGGAGGGGAAAGGGGAGGGGAGGAAGAGAAGGGAGGGGAGGGAAGGGGAAGGAAGAGGGAGATTTCATTCATCCACCAAAAATGTATTGAATCATGTGTGCAGAAAATTCTAATACTTTCAAGAACCTGGCCATACAGAAAGCACTATAAAAGTACAAACAAGCAATTCTTTGTTCTAATTGGATGAATCAGGTTTATTTATTTATTCTTTTACCCTAATACAGTGAAACCTCCACCTAACGGACAATATGGAGAGGTAAGTCCACTAACACCTATGCCTCTTAAATGGAAGGTTTCTCTATTGTTTTCCCTAGTGGATATGGATGGTGTAAACGCTTATGTGAACACTCTGCCGCCACCCCTGCCTCCCCTTCACAGGAGCCAGACTTCTGCTCCTTGAGATTCATTCACCAGATTGTAACTCAGAATGATAATAAACTTGCCAATCTTACTTCTCTAATTTAATCTCCATGTCCCATGCTAATTTATTTTATTAATATACAAATTACTGCAGAATTGCCTATGATTACATATTATGTGATGTTTTAAGTTGATATATTAATATTTCATGTAGTATTGTATCAATTAGTCTATTCTCCTCTCTCATTACAGTTACAAGATGGAGTACTGTACAATATTTCATCTCTATGGTGTAAATGAGTACATCAACCACCTCCTTACTAGTACAGTTTTTTAGGCACCGATAAGGGACGAGAACATTGTGTCATGAAGGTGTCGTGCCGGCTGTAACACAACGGCCAACCGATGTCATCTACCGAGAGCTATTACACGTCACTTACTAAGAGAGGCGTCAGTATCCCAGCAATATAATTTACAAAACTTATGCCAATAATTTAAAGACTATGGAAAATCAAAACCCCAAGTGTTTTTTATTTTTGTTTTTTACTCATTGATGGTGACCAACTTATAAGACTAATAATTCCTCTCCAAACTCCATGTACAGTATAAATGTGTTTGGTTATATTACAACAATTTCCCAGATGTCAAAACTAAAGATAAATACACTTCGTTATCTTTCATCCTATTTCACACATATGACTCTCCATAAACTGTTAAATAAGGAGAACAAATAATAGTTTGCTAAATAAGCCAGAGGGCATTGTGAAGTAGTGGTAATAAAGTTTACCTTATATATATAAGCCCTGTTAAGTCCAGATGACAATATTGGAATAACATTAGTTTTACTTTCTCCAAAAGCTATTTCCATTTTGTACAATACTGTAATTAAACTCAAAATATTATCCATTGTAAAACTAAATTCCTAATATACCATTATAGCACTATATGTGCACTTACAGACAAGCTTTACTTACACCTCGATAATAATTACAGACTTCAACAGTTAATAACCCGCTACCTGGTCAAACAGCTACCTGAATAAATCTCTATTGATGTGAATATTTTAATTTGGTGTATCTTCTGGTATGAGCATCTGAAAACCCTAAATATTTGAACTGAAGTAGGAGACCTGCTAAGTATTTCCAACTGATGCTGTTCACTTTACTTTCTGAATTTATGGAACAATTAATCAAATGAGGAATCTGCTAAAATATTAAATTTCAAATGTTACTTTATTGAACTTCCTACCTACCAGTCCAGTCATCTTGCTAATATTTTGATACATACATATATTTATATAAGGCCTTTCAATGATACTCTCAAGGTTGATGGTTCTCAGTGAGCCACCTTGAGTGCAACAAGGGCACTAAAGAAGAGAGCTGGTAGATACAAGGTGAAGTGAGAGGCACCGCCCTGTGCTCCGTCTTGGGCCTCGGTGGATGGCGCTTCTGTAACAACGCCAACGAGTTAAAAACAATTCCATTAAGGATACCATCATACACCTGTAACTAACAGGTACTGTACAGTCATCCATCTGTCAACTTGAACTAGACAGTCTTCTCCTTTGAGTGTAGTAAGAAGGTGTAAGACCCACAAGGGGCAGCCCAGATACAGCACATTGTGACTGGGCCTTTTTAGTACACAAGGAGGCAGCGTGGCTGCACTGCACTAGAACCACCTTCACCTCCTACTAGAAATCAGGCACCGATTCACAGCTGGGTGGACTTGGGTTGCCCCAGGAATGAACTTGTTACCCTTAGAACAGGAGACAAGTGCTGTATTCATTCTGTCGCTGCCTCCCTTCCTCTGAGTTCCCTTCAAAAATATCTCGAGGAATGTGTCAAACAATGTTACTCTACTGGCATATCATAATACAACCTCATCTGCAGATACAATATATATATATATATATATATATATATATATATATATATATATATATATATATATATATATATATATATATATATATATATATATATATATATATATATATATATATATATATACAGTATATATATATATACAGTATATATATATATACTGTATATATAAATTTTTCCAAAGAATTTTTATACAGATGGCAATTGTTAATGACTAATTCCTAACAGCCACTAAATAGTACAGAAAAAAAATAAAATAAAAATTACTGATCTTCTCAAAAGTAAATTTCTTTGTAAACATTAATAAAATAAATAAAACTTCCTATAATATCACAACATCCTACATAATTATTACTCTGAATATACATTTTATTAATTAATGATAACTTGTACAGGAGACTAAACCTTATTAAGTTAAATTATGACAAATTTCTCGAGTCATGCAGTAAGATAAGAAAATCATATTGGTATAGTATGATAACTTAAGGGCTTTCACTAAGTGCATACAGGAGGCAGGAGGACGAAAGACCACTTGACGAAGCTCGGAATCAAGGACTTTGTATTCACCTGAAAACTAGACCTGAAGAATAGCCACCCTAATGCTTTCTGGAGGAGTTAGGTGTATTGGTTAGATTATTTGGTTGAGTTGTTAGATTAAGTTACGTTGAATTCTGTTTAGGATAGATTAGGTTAGTTTAACATCTAGATGAAATAAACTGGGGTGTCTAATCTTCAGGTGATCCATAAGCTGTTAAAACAATATAAATAAATTTATGGCTTAAACTACAGCAACTATCAAGCAAAGGCAGATATTTCTGATAAAAGATTAACAATGGAATGTTCAATTGTTTCTCTAAGATTTTATTCCAGGTACAATTATGAAACTCTCCAGGCATTTGAATATGTCTATTTAACGTAATAACTTAATGAAAACCCTACGAGCTTATTATGGGGGTTACGATTATGCAAGACACCATGTTACATAATTATATCATTCACATTACATTAGGCAGTCGATGCAATATAAAGTTTTTCATCATGCAATATACAGTACATATACAGAAATACATTATACATAATAAAATACAAAACTCCACCATTAATAGCTCAACAGATCATAACAGGAGATGATACAATAACTACTGTATAAACTAAAGCAATCATATACAGTACAATACAACAGATTTGTCTAATAACGAACACAATGACCAAAAGCTGTAAGATAAAATAATTCACAACTTTTAAAATACTGTAAAAATCAAAACTTCCATTATAAATTTTTTAGATACAGCTGTATTTCCAAATTAAAATGTTGGTCAGTACAGCAGTAATACATTTTTTACAGTACAGGTCCCAACAGCATCCTAGGTTCAATCCCCAAAACAAGACAGATATGAGAAAAGTGTTGTGCAGAGTGACACCACCAAACATGGCAGATGATAAGTGGTTAAATAATAAATTAATAAATAACCTTATAAGTTATCATTTAATATATTACTCTTAAAATATTCTTTCCCACTAACATCTTCACCACCTGATGCCACTCTCAACACACACGGGATCAAGCACAGACCTCAGAGTGACCTATACAAGACCAGACTCCCGACCCTTTCCAACAAGTTCTACCTGACAGACAGAATTATTACACCAATAAGATAAACTTCTTCTTGTGTGCCATTAAAAGTATTTCCTTCTTGAATACTGTCAAACACAATACCATTAAGAACAAAGAAGTTAGACTAATACAGTACCCTTATTGTTGCAAGTCACTTTTTGGATCACATAAAGATTGGATACCTAACCTAACCGAACTAAAACCCTGCTCAAGGTACCACTAGGGTCTTTAATTAGGTGATAGGATCTAGGGGGCAAATCTTCAGGTGATCTCTGATTCACGTAGAGATTAGGTGAAAAATTAATTTTTTTACGATGTAGTCGCCAGAATAAACAAAACCACTCTACATTTATTTACTTTATTTTATTACCGCTAAACTGTACAATTTATATATGTATTAACCTTTCTGACTGCTTTATAGATGCATGCTGCCTGAAATAACAGGGAGTTCCAAGTGCCCTCTTAGCTGGCAAGGCAGTCACTACCCCGAGGTAATCAAATAATACTAACTTCCAGATCAAGTCTTCTTACAGCTCACCTGACACCTTAATAATAAACGTAACAATAAGCGTTCTTGTTTTTAATTTCTTCCTATGTCTTGGGTAAATTTCAAAGAGGTACATCATCTTAAATGTGATTGAATCTAGCCAAAAGTGTTGTCTGTTGCCCCATGTTACCAATATTCTACATAGGTGAGAAGGGGAGGATTTAACACATCATTACTCCTCACCAAATGTTCAGTATCTACCATTATCTTATATTCATTTCTGTTACTTTAAGTTGAATTTGATGTTGAAACTCCTTGATCTGAAGACAAAGAATTAATGTCTGGTTTTGATCTGAAGTAATATAAAGGTAGCTGTTTCTAAAATGAACACCAACATCATCAACCAATTATTTGAGTAAGGAACCTTGGCTGCAGGTTCTGTAAGATTACAAGATGAAGCTCGGAATAATATTTTGAGAATTTAGATAACTATATATATTATGTAAGTTAAAATTACTTAATGATGATTTGTGTTGATCTGGGTTGAAAGTTTTAACAAGTTAGAATTACCTTCAATACACCCATGTGAGGAGACAGGGTCAATAACACTTTCTGGTACGTGTACACTCACACACATGGTTGTAACAACACTTAACTGCTCATAATATACCATAGGTTTTGACTAGGGTGAATAAAACCAAACTGCCACTACCACTGATTACGGTGCAGTCCCCCGAAGTTCATGGTTTTTCACAGCCACCATCTATTATTCGTAGATGACACCCTGGATGTACCCAAGAATGTCTGTGGGTAGTTTTAAAGTTGCCTGCATTTTCGCGGCTGGGATGGGAGCCAATTCATTCTAGAGACAGTAATTTCCTTTACCTGTATTGTATATACGGGGTGTGATCCAAAAGTTCCTGGACTGGCTTCATAAAATCTTTATTTTTCAAGATATTAGAGTGAAACTTTAGTCACCCTTAAAATATTCTTCAGAGGCCTTGATGCAGTGCTGAATCCACTTCTTGAAGTCCTTGTTGGTGAGGCTGGAGCACACCTTCTGTGATGTGTCCTGGATCTCCACTATGTCCATGATCTTCTTGTCCTGGAGGTACAACTTGAAGGAAACAGCCAGAAGTCGGTGACCAGATCTGTAGAGTATGGAGGGTGGGGGGCACTGGGGTGTCGTGCTGTTTCCCAAGTTCAAGTTGTACCTCCAGGACAAGAAGATCATGGACATAGTGGAGATCCAGGACACATCACAGAAGGTGTTAGCCTCACCAAGGACTTCAAGTGGATTCAGCACTGCATCAAGGCCTCTGAAGAATATTTTAAGGTGACTAAGTTTCCTCTATCTTGAAAAAAAATTTTATGAAGCCAGTCCAGGAACTTTTGGATCACACCCATATGTGTGTGTGTGTGTACACACACACACACACACATACAATACAGGTAAAAGAAATAATTGTCCTAAGGCCAAACACATAAAGGGAATATATATTTCTTTGTACACAAGTAAAAATGTAACTCCCCCCCACCAGTCAGCAAATGTTATTCGTGGATTTAACGATTTGCGGCCATTTTGAGAACCTAACCCCCGTTAATTTGGAGGGCCCCTGTGTATACATTTCATCAACTTTGAGGAACATACTGCATATTGATCTGTAGTTGGGCGGTAGTGTGAGGGAACTATTCTGTACAATGGTAGTGACCTCAGTTCCTAATGTTATCAACCTGACTGTGAGCACCTCCAAAAATTCCTCTACCTAAACTGGTCAGCTCCTGAACTTGTGGCCACACCAAGAAGGTCTGCCCTTACATGTTTAGCTAGACCATGGTGGCTCCTTTGGTTGTCTACACTTCTCCCCATCCCAAAGCAGATAACAGCAACAAGAAAACATAACATTAACAAGACCTACAAGAAAAACGAACATCAATAAGACAATACACCTCAACACTTAGCGGACAACAGCGTCTCAATATGCCTCACAAATTAACCCCAAGCAAGAGAAATAGACGAATAGCACAACTGTTGTACATTACTCATCACTCTTACCAGTTGTTGCTGGTGAGTTCTCTTCCGATTTAGCTGAAAATAGGTAAATCATGAGCTTTGTTATATGATGGGCAGCCAGACATGCTGTGATTAACCTGTGGCAGCCATCTTGTAGCTAGACCTACTCGTCAACTTGCTCGCTATGCCACAAACTACTGTCCCCGGGCATGATCATCACAAAGGAGTACAGTATTAAAAGCTTATACTGTACAGGTCTATCATTAAACCTTGGCACTAAACAGTTGTGTGTGTGTTAGTACAATTATGTCAAAGTAACTTGTACTGTTTGTTCAATTATCCATATGAACACTATAACACTGTTTGTCATAGTGTATGTATAATCCGGTTTTGTATATGTATAATCATGTATAATCTAACACATACAAGGAAGAGAAAAAAAGACCATTCAACTACCTGACGACTAAACCAATCAGGTGTTTAGTTTCAGCAATGCTTCTCATCCTCCGTAATAACCACAAAGCCAGTGGCAAGGCTTCACCTAACGAGATACAAATGTGAGCTGCAGTTTATCTATGGCAGTTGTGTTTAGTCAGATGCCCTACAAAACAAATCCCCTATCAGACATATTCAGAGTTTATATTGAGTCAGCATTAGATCAAGGTCGTCCATTTACAATCCAGAATTTGTTTATTGTAGAAATACCCAAATATGAAAGTAGAATTTGCTACACTGTCATCTGATGTTATTTGTTGATTTGTTAGGTGCTTATGGTGAGCTATAGCCAATCCCATCGTGACTCACTTGTTCATTGCTATTTCACGTTGTGTTAATATAAAGTATGTGGACCTGGTTTTTTCAATTTAGGGATTTGACTGATGAAAAGAGGACCTTGCTAGTAAATTTAGGGACTTGACTGATGAAAAGGGGACCTGGCTAGTAAATTTAGGGACTTGACTGATGAAAAGGGGACCTGGCTAGTAAATTAAGGGACTTGACTGATGAAAAGGGGACCTGGCTAGTAAATTTAGGGACTTGACTGATGAAATAGTCACTTGATAGTAAATTTAGGGACCTGGCTAGCAAATTTAGGGATCTGGCTGATAAAATATGGACATGATTAATGAACTCGTGACCAGAATAGCAAATTTAGTAACCTGGCTGATACATATATGGACCTGGCTTCATAAAATACAAGGACGTCACTCATGAATCTCAAACCAAAGGCAACCAGAATAAATGTTTAAAATCAACATACATTTCATCCCTAGAAGCATAATGTCAGTATATATAGTATAATGTGTACCGTCATACAACTTAACATGTATATGTATACTGTATAAACACTACCACATAAAACTGGTATATGTGTAATAATCATCTGCTGTGTATAAATAAGTATCTGTAGAAGGACTAGATTGCAACACTGTCAAAGGTATGTTAAGTACTGTATATGTTTTATGGGGTAAGATTAAGTAACAATACACCACCCTTGGAAAACTGCACCAATGGCAAGCACTTTATTTTTTGGGAGGAGGGTAATCACTTTGGATGCACATTAGTATAGCTTAATATACCAGCATAGTCTAATAATAAAAGGGATTCGTCATACACAACTACGGCCAAGACCTTCAACCAATGGGTTAATTCACATCTACAACACCATGCAAAATCGCAATCATTAATACTGTGATTATCGTTCATTCTTCAGTCAATACTAAAACTGTAAATCAGCGTATCATAGCAGGCGCAGGGATAAGGGGGGGAGGGGTAGCAACTGAGCTTATACAGTACTGTGATTATGAGGCAACAGTGTCTATGTGCTCTGTCATGTAGGGCAGCATAGCCAAGACAACATGTCCCCCCCCCCAACTCCCCATCACCTTCCTCATGTAAAATTGGTTTCCCCGATTTCAACAATTTAGGAATATTGGGGAATTGGAATTTTAACAGTAAAATCAGAGGTTACGCAATCCATTTAGCTGAGTCAGGTGTGTGTGGGGGAGGGGGATGGAATAGGGAGGCAAGGGGGGAGGGGGGCAGCTGCTACTCCATAGGTCGCATCGCAAATCCATCGTTACCACCGTCATCCATCATGCGTTATAAAAGGGGGGACGGGAGGGCTACTCATCCAACTCACTCACCCGGCTCTCCTTCCACCAACTCCTCTACCTGTTCCTTCTCCATTTTCTCATCCACCCATTCCTTATCCTCCACCTCCCTCTCCTCACCTACATCATCCTCTTTTTCTTGGTCTTCCTCATTTGGAACTGTAAAAATGGGAGCGGATATTTGAAATTATACAAAAATGGTGGATATTTGGAATCAGGCACAATGGGAATGGATATCTGGAATATTAGACAAGAAAAAATAGGATGTGGATATTTGGAATGAGGCACAATAGGAATGGGTAGTCTGGAGAAACATAGGGACACATAGGAACACATATTAGATACTGGAGGAACACATGTTAGGTACTGGAGACACATAGAAACACATATTAGGAACTGGGGTCACATAGGAACACATATTAGGTACTGGAGACACATAGGAACACATATTAGGTACTGGAGGAACACAGGAACACATGTTAGGTACTGGAGACACATAGGAACACATATTAGGAACTGGAGGAACATAGGAACACATATTAGGTACTGGAGGAACACAGGAACACATGTTAGGTACTGGAGACATAGAACACATATTAGGAACTGGAGGAACATAGGAACACATATTAGGTACTGGAGGAACATAGGAACACACATTTAGGGGCTGGGGACACATATTAGGTATGAAAGAAGGACAGTCTATAGTGAGCTCAGCCTGAAAACAAGAAAAAGATACAAAAGTGAGAATCTTTATTTTACTGTATAATGGTAGAGGTCGGGGTTCATTCCTTCATCCGAAAACCCCAAAGCCGGTTGATTTGTTTTGAAGATAGGCCTAGTTTTAATTATCGAATGCCTAGGCCTATTTACACTACAGTAACACAGATCCAAGCCTGAAATCCGATCCATTTCCACTTGTGTTTTGAATCTCATGTGTATAATATTTTTGCAGTAAACATGATTTGATTTTATGTAATGTTTATATTTTGGTAATGTTGAATTGATTTACTGTTGTAGGAATGTAAATAAAACAAAGCTTGTCATCAGATGTAAAAGCCTCAGGGGGCCAATTGACAGATCTAGGAGGAGGGGAGGAGGGGGCTATAAAACATTGATTAATTTCACCAACAATATTCTCACTCATTACCACCAGCAGTTTTCATCACACGTTGTTGTTTTTAGTTTACAGAAGTTGTAGATAAACTTTAGGACGTTTTTACTGTAAACATGATTTTATTTAGGTATTTTAATAGTCGAGCTGAAAAAAAGAGATTACTGTATTGTGAACATAGAAATTTATGGGGTAAAGGTTATGATGTGTGGAGGCAGTCAGGTCTGCTGTTATGCAAGACAGAGGCAGTCAGGTCTGCTGTTATGCAAGACAGAGGCAGTCAGGTCTGCTGTTATGCAAGACAGAGGCAGTCAGGTCTGGTTTATGCAAGACAGAGGCAGTCAGGTCTGCTGTTATGCAAGACAGAGGCAGTCAGGTCGCTGTTATGCAAGACAGAGACAGCCAGGTCTGCTGTTATGCAAGACAGAGGCAGTCAGGTCTGCTGTTATGCAAGAGGCAATCAGGTTTGCTGTTATGCAAGAGGCAATCAGGTCTGCTGTTATGCAAGACAGAGGCAGTCAGGTCTGCTGTTATGCAAGACAGAGACAGTCAGGTCAGCTGTTCTGCATTCTGATACAGTCTTTGTTATTGTTGTGGGTTTTACATACAGTTGGGTCTGTTTAAAAGACTTTCCATGACTTGATCTTTTTTTAGTTTTATGAATTTGAGATAAATGAATCTTTAACCTGTACTAGTGGCCATTATACAATTATAATTATAATGATGGTTCCATTATAGATGTAAAATAGACTGTACTATAGATACTGTATAATCTATTCTCATGTCTAGAGGTACTGTACAGGAGGTTCCCCACTTACTAATGCCCGCCAATATAAATGAGGTTAAACTTGAAATTTACAATATTTTATTTACCTGATGACATATTTTTTACTTTCATTAACTGTATTTTATCATTCTATTTCTTCTTTTGTCTTAAATTAAGTGATTTTAGATGTATATATGACTTAGGCTATGATATAGTGGGATTTTAATCATTGTTTTGTAAGTACAGTATACATATATCATGTGTTCCCACTTATGTATAAATCTGACGTAACCCGGAGACCCCTGTATACATCAATTCTGACATCTATAGTTACTGTATAATTTATGAATACACCAAAGATCTGTACTTCAATATTCATGAATACTTCTCAACACATAAATATTCTTTTCTCCAAACACACATGAATACTTCTCAAAACACCAAGATCACTTTCAACATCCAGGCATACTTCTTGACACAGTACAGTCGCTTACACTCTCACCTGGTACACTGGCTGGTGCATTTTGTGAGATATGACAACTCTGTGTTTGTTTACATTGTGTTGAAACTCCCAGAATGGCCCCCTAAGGAACCTCACAATAGTAACCAGATAGGTATTCCACAGGGTTGCCACATCTCATAAAACACACCAGCCACTGTACTAGGTATGAATGTAGGCGGCACAAAAGGTCTCTCTGGACTGTGAACTGTTATGTCAGTCACCTGCTGAGAAGATAAACAAAATAACAAAAGGTGTTAAGAGATACATATTGTTACATGAACCAAAGGGGAAATGAAAGGTAATGTTGCAGAAGTGTCGAGTGATTTTATTGCAAGGTGGAGTGAGATATTGCAGGAAGATAGAGAAATAGTGTTGCAGTATGACAATGAATGAATGAGAGAGAGAGATAAATAATGCAAGGAATGAACAAAGTATATATGTATGTGATGTACCTTAAAAAAAAAAATAATAATAATATAAATAAAACCTATGAAACCTCACCTGGCTCAGATGTGGGTTCCTCTGTGGGATCGTCGTCACCGTGGTCAGAAGAACTGGGTTCAGCGGATGGTTCCTCCTCTGGGGCGGGTCTGGTCGGCATTGGCATCGCCTTGTGTTCCCGGGGCCCGTTCAACCTCATCTTCAGCCTTGACAGCCAGAGCCAGGAGACCAAACACAGCCAGTACCATCCAGAACTTCATCTTGATCTGTGGAAATATTTAGCCACTGTAGAGTCTGGTGTTGACTTTCTGATGCATTGTGTAAGAATATTTATACAGGGTTTATGCTGTAAATATCATCGTATACATATCCCTCACCACCACTACCCCTTCCTCACCACCACCCTACCTCACCATCACCACTACCCCACCTCACCACTCACCTCACCCTCACCATCACCACTACTTCCCTCACCATCACCACTACCCTCACTCACCATCACCACTACTCCACCCCTCACCATCACCACCTCACCCTACCCTCACCACTACCCCACCTCACCATCACCACTACCCCACCTCACCCCATCACCACTACCCTCCCTCATCACCACCACCCTTCTCATCACCACTACCCTACCCTCACCATCACCACTACCCTCACTCCCTCACCATCACCACTACCCTACCTCACCATCACCACTACCTCCTCACCACCATCACCACTACCCTTCCTCATCACCACCACTTCTCCTCACCACCAGTCAACACAGCCAAGTATTATTGATCAAGCTTATAACACTACGAAGACGTACACAACATAGTGATGCTGGTACCCCCACCCCCCTACACCACCCTCCCTTTCAAACAACCCTCCCTCCCACCACACCCCCACCCCTTCCTCCCCAACTCTCCCCCTCCCTGCCTTCCCTTCCCCCATCCACACCTTACCCTCCCTCCCCTTCCTACTTATAACCCCTTTCTCTCTCTTCATACCACTCTCGTTTAACCTCCTTCCTTCCATACCACCACCACCTCCCCCCCTTCACACTACCCTTCCACACACCCCTTCCCTTCCACATGACACCGGCAGATCTCCTCCCAGTGACCATGGCAGTATTAGCTATTATTACCATACTGAGTCCTTCCATCAATCCATCCTCTCCCTCCCTCCATCAATCCATCCTCCTCCCTCCATCAATCCATCCCCCCTCCCTCCATCAATTTATCCCGCCTTTCTCCCTCCCTCACCACCAGTTGCTTCCTCTCTCTCCATCAATTTTTCCCTACTTCTACCAATCCACCCCATTCCTCCTCCTTCACCACCACAATTCTTCCCTCCATCAAATTTACCCGACCCTTCCTCCATCAATTAATTCCCCTTTTCTCCCTCAATCTACCAATTTCTTCTTCCCTCCCTCTTTATCCGTCCTTTCTCATTCACTTTATTTCCCTCTTTCTTCCCTATACAAAACCGTACTCACTATCCTCTCTCTCTCTCTCTTCACCTTCCTCAAGTTTTAACCCAGCCCAAGGTTAAGGATAAAGCCAGTTCAAGTATTAACTAAGCCTTAAAGATCAAGCCTGTTCAAGTTTTACTAAGTGAAGGGTAAAGTCAACTGGCCAACATTCTCTCGGTAAGATATATCGACCACTAGCGGTTTAAACCCTTGCCAGAACATAAACAAATTTCCTATAAACAGATCTGGCAACAGAACAAAAACAACATTGTTACTTAAAGAAATAAATGAATAAATGAATAAATCACACGAACTATTTGATCGCGATTCCCAAAGCTACGAGTTGTTTTTCTGGTAAATCGACCGTAAAACAACTTATAATGGCGGATTTTCCTTATTTATAATCTTGCATGTATTATTATTTCTTTAGTTATGGAGAATAATTGAACCTATAAAACGTACAAGAGAAGAAATGGGCAAAATAAGTAAAATATCACCGTGTCGTCGCCTGCTTGACAAACCGCCATGTTGACATTCACAGCCAAGGAGACATCATGGTCGGCTGAAACCGCTTGTGGCGCAGGAAGGACAAGGGTAGTCATGGTGGATAATGTACTGTCTGTAATGAGAGGAACGTCCGTCTGTCTGTCTGTTCTCCCCTTGCCCTTAACCCATTATACTTCCATAACCCTCCCCAGCCCCTTAACCACCAAGCTCCCCCTCCTCCCTTCCCTCCCACCACCACCTCGTAAGTGCCGATGTCTCCTAAATCTTGCCCTTCAGGTTTTCCCCAGATCCTATTCACTTCCTCAGTTACAACAATAACCTCTTAGCTCACCAACCATTTTATATAAACACTCAACGGAAATTAATTTAATTCATCGGCCATTTTAGTGCAACCATGATATAAACTTCAACGCAGATTCTCATTCATAACTGACGTGTCTGTCTGACTAACCTTGGACTACGCAGCGAGTCGCCAAGGTCAACCTGCAACCTTACTAATGCATATAACACCTATGCAGGGAGGTAAATCTTGCCCAAATTTGGATAAAAAATTAAACCAATTTCACTCCATTGTTTCCCTGGTGATAATATTGTATTTATATTAAGCCGAAGCCAAAGACCGAGGGAGGAAACGAGGGCGGGGTATTTTTGGCGCGCTATCCGAGGCGGCGTGTTCGGTTACCTAACATGCAACTTGCACCTGCGCCGCCCGCCACACTCCTCACCTCACCGACATTTTTTGTAGGGCCAAGTATTCTCTCACCTCGCCAGGGATTTTTTTAACCTTTTCTTCTTCCTTTGGCTAGAAAACACTATTTATACATGAATGGCGGTCGGGAATAGGAATCGATCGAGAGGGGTTGAGGGGAAAAAAACACTGCCAGAACACGCCCACAGACCCGTCTTACCAGTTTGAACTTTGCTCGACGACATCAGTTTGGAAATAAAAACAAAATATATTACCAAAACAAAGACACATACAGTAACTTAACTACCAGGTCATCAGTTCATAAGATACAGTTGACAGATTTTGAACTTAAAAGCAAGAGATTTCATTCACGTCGCACCTACAGTAAGTCTACCCCGTCAGTGCTTGTGTGTGTGTGTCCAAGTTTTTGCGTTCGTTGAGAAGCAGCAGCTGGCCTTGCGTGCATTAAGGGTAAATTGTGTGTGTGTGTGTGTGTGTGAGGAGGGGGAAGGGGTATTGTGATGGGGGGGTGGAGGGTGAGAGAGAGGGAGGGGCGTACGATGATAGCACAGTACTTGCATTATTGCATAGGTTCTCGACAGCTGTTCACACCCAAAAAATCAATAGAAAACACAATGCAATTTTTCATACAAAGGCCGTTAGAACCTGAGGGGGCATTTAAATCCTGTTGATATCCTCTCCTCCCCCTCCCTCACCACGCCAAACTGCCTGGGCTAAATTTGACAGTCCAGATATTTAGCGTTTGTTTGGGATCATGATCAAAATATCCTAATTTCTACATGATATAAAAAAATCCAACTTTAATTTATATTTTGGATGATTTAGGTAATTATAGAAAACGGATACATGCTTATTTATAGTTTTCTATGATGAGAATGTATGGTAAACTTAAAACAATTATCCGACGCTTTGTACCCACACGTAAACATACCCACACACGGGTATAAACATCACTAACGTTACATTATGGTCAAATTGAGGTACAAAATAGGCGCCATTGAACACTTCCCTTCCTCCCTATTTCAGGTGTTTGCCAATTTAATCAGTTTAATAGAAGCTTTTGTGCATTGTGTCAACGGGAGGCTGAACTGGGAGGGAACGGGATGGAGGAAAGGGGTTAGGGAGGGAAGGGGATGGAGGAAAGGGGTTAGGGAGGGAAGGGGATGGAGGAAAGGGGAAGAAAGGGGAGTTATTGTCACAGTACACAACTAACGACATTAATCACCTTTATAAAGTGAGGAATTTAACTACAGAAAACTTAATATTTTTCACCAGTAATAAACAATAGTGTGTGTGTGTGTGTGTGTGTGTGTGTGTGTGTGTGTGTGTGTGTGTGTGTGTACAGGAGACGTTACAAGATTTTAATAGTATGTATGTATGTTTATGTATGTATGTATGTATGTATATATGTTTTTGTATGTATGTATGTGTGAACAACCACCATACAAATGAGCCACTGCAACAGGGAGAAGAGGGTGTGAAAGGGAGGACAATGAAGGGAGAAGAGATGAAGAGAAATGAAGATAGACAAGAGAAAGAGAAAGGAAAACGGAGGAAGAAAAAACAGAAGAGGGGGAATGAGGAAATGAGAATCAGATGTGAAAGAATGATGAAAATACGAGAACTGGAAGAGGGGAGGAGAAGAAGGAGGAAGGAAGGAAGAGGGAGACAATGAAGAGGAAGAAGAGTAAAAACACGAAAGATGGAAGAGGTGAAAAGGAAGAGGGAAAGATGATAAGAGGCGATAGACGAAGGTTATCTATAGGGAGGGGGAGAGGGAAAGGTAGGGGAGAAAGAGGGATGGAGGTAGGGAGGGAAGTAGAGAGAGAGGGAGGGGAGGGAGGAGGGAGGAGGGAGGGAGGTAGGAAGGGAGGAAAGAAAGAGTGGAAGCGATAGGGGGAGGATAGATGGATGGATGAATAAATCGAGTGAGACAGGGATGGATGAAGGAGGGAGGGGGAGGAGGGAGGAGGGAGGAGGAGGGGAGGAGGGGAGGGAGGGGGGGGAGATGGCGTATTCAACATGCAGAAAGCAGATGAGGTCACCACACCATACTAGGAACACCACACCACCACTACCCCACCACAACTACCCCTACCACCACCACTACCACAACTACCCACCACCACCACCCCTACCACCCACCACCCCAACACTAACAGACACACGGGCACTACACACGACAGCATGGCGCCGCAATTCCTTGTCATCAGCTGCTGCGCCAATAATTAAATACTAAATTACCCCCTCATCACCTGACCCCATCACGCCTGACTATTGGTCCCCCCTGTGACATCATTACCTATCATGACAGCCTATTGGTCAATCCTAATGACGCCATCACCCATCACGCCAGCCTATTGGTTCCATGACTGACGTCGTCATTCAAAACGCCTGCTCTTTGGCCTACGTCACTGACGTCATCATTCAGTACGCCAGCTTATTAGTCTACCTCCATGACGTCATCACCCATCACGCCAGCTTATTAGTCTACCTACATGACATCATCTATCACGCCAGCTTAGTCGTCAATCTCCATGGCGTTATCACCCATCACGCCACCTCATTGGTCAGCCCTAATGACGTCATCA